TGTCATAGAAATCTGATCGGCTTCCAATCGTTGCACACCATGAAAGCAAATCGTGGAAGCGCTGTTCTAGGTGACGTCGCGAAACGCGAGGATGGTTGTAGTCCCTCCAGAGTAGGTTCTTCCTCAATATGGAATTCTTGTCGTCAGTGTTGAAGTGTGTGGCCAGGCGCTTAACTAGCGATACACTGTCCATTTAGTACAGTGGTCACACGTGGACGCGGTTAACCTTCCGCGCAAAAGGCGGCGATGCGACAGGCAATGAGACGCTCGCAACGACTTTGGCAGCTGCGCAAAGTCAAGTTGGAATTACCTTCAATGATACCATCAGCTAGGATTAGGAAATCCTATGTTACGTTGGCAGTGTTACTCTGCTGCGCACCTTGTGACCTTCAAACCCTATTCCGCTCTCCGAGCCAGACATCATGCTGCGATGAGAGTGACGATAGGTAGCTGATGAACTGACTGTAAAACCCGCACATGCTGGCTTTTTTCCGTGCCGTCAGGTTGGAATTTTGCCGAGGCATCAATTACGCTTGATGCTCCGGTCTTGCCCTGCCCAGAGGCCTGACTGTTGTGTCCTTTAGAACGGGAGCCTACCAGCATCTCCTGGCCTTGATCCGTGGTGTTTGAATCGATGCTGTGTGTAAGCCAGGCCCGATACATGGGGACCTGGGGTAGCCTACCCACATCATGGTTCACGGATCACCTAGCCAGTGACAGCGAGCGATGATCGCATCGTCGAAAAGAGACATCCGCTCAGCACTTAGAGGTTTCCAGACGAGGGAATGGAAGTCGAGTAATATATGCGAGAACGCTCGTAATGTTGAAGCTTCACATTCGACTAGATGGGAATGAAAACACCAGAACCGGGAAGAGCCGCCCGAGCTGCGCTACAGCGCAAGAAGGCTGCGTTGTAGATTTGTCTTGGTACTTCTTGCGGACTGAATGATAGGTAACAGCTGGCTCCAAGCTAAAGAAGGGTGTTTGCCCATAATGGTAAATGCACTTGACGATTTGAGTGTCTGACTGACCTCGTTTTTCCCCTCGGCTTCTCCATGCCTTGTAGCAAGCCTGATCGTGAGATTCCCCGCATGATTCCCAGAAACATGAACCTGCTCAATAGGCCGTAGGCAGCTTGACAGACATGGGAGGTCGACGTTCGAATTGCTGCCCGTCCAGCTTCTTCACTGGCAAGGCCGCTAATCAGATTTGGGCGACCTTCTTGTTCTTTGTAGCTGCATCAGTGAGGCAATCGTTCTTAGATGAGCTTGAACTGGGCAGTTTCCGTTGATGATTACAATGGAAGGTCACTTGCGAGGTAGTTAGAATGCGAAGAGAAGGAAGCCACGATTAGCGTCTTGGCGCTGCCCCTCTTGCGCGGACGCAGGCACTCCCAGCGTACATCGCCATCGCCGTACCCATACTCCGGTAATGTTTTTCGCATTTATATCCGCGAACGGAATAGCTACATCTTCCTTGAAAGCCCAACATTCTGGTCCCAAAGTCTAGTCGCCAGGTGCATTTGCATCACTCTCAACTTGGACTCAAGGCCCAGCGCAGTCTCCAGACACGACTGATTTCTGGCGGAAATGATTGAACTTTAGTAGGGTAAAGTTTTGCAGATTCGGCCCTGTGTGAGATGAAGAACTCAAACTCCTCAATCACCTTACGAATTGAGAACGATACGACCTCGATCGGTTTATTATCACGGGACGGCCGATTGATCGGTGGAATTCCAGCCATTCCTGTGGCTCAGGCGCCGAGCAACCTCGACTAACAGCTGTTCGCACGGTCTCTGTTGCACTAGCTGCCAACTGCTGGGGGTCTGAGTTCCGAAGTGAGAGTACCGTTTGATGTGTGTTCAAACGTAGCAGATGGTTGATGTTTGGCGTGTTAAGTAGATTAGACCCTGGAACTGCGTTCGCGGCATCTTCTCCGCCCAAGCTTCAAGCTGATGACGACAATCGCGTCAGCTATCCCCCGTCATCACCCCGAACGCCAGACACGCGACAACGAACCAACCTGAGCATGAAGGTCGCACCGTTCGGAATTCGGAATGACTGCCAGTGCATCGCGCGCGCGAATGGCTGACTCGTGCTCACCGCAAATAGCGCACCTGTGACCATGAGCGGCTAGCCGTGACTGCGGGGTGCACGCCCTTCGCGGACTCAGCATGGGAGCAGGCATGGGACTTCGTGACTCTTCCTGCTCTTCTTTCTTACCTTGCAGCTTTGGATAGCATGCATCCTCTACAACCACCGCCGCCGCCGCCGCCATGACAGAACACCGCCTACCGGTCAAGCAATTGGCCATTCTCTGTACGTCCGCTTGACGCGTCTTCACCTGTAAGCTTGCTAACTTCGCGACAGCACTATGCCGGTTTGCCGAGCCCATCGCCCTCACGTCTGTCTTCCCCTACGTACCGGAGCTCATGGAGTCTTTTGGCATCCCCAAGAATGACATCGCGCGTTGGGCTGGCATTTCGTCCTCGGCCTTCTCGCTATGTCAGGGCTTTACTGGCCTTCTTTGGGGCGCTGCATCCGACCGCTATGGAAGGAAACCGATTATACTCTTTGGTCTTACCAACACTATGTGGTCGATGTTGCTATGGGGTTTCTCGCTCAATCTGCCTATGGCTTTGGCCGCACGCGCTATTGGAGGGCTATCGAACGGCTACGTGGGCATCCTGCGAACTACGGTGGCCGAACTATGTCCATGGAAAGAACTACAACCGAGAGCGTTCAGCGTCATGCCTTTGGTCTGGACAGTTGGTGCCACGTTTGGACCTACACTCGGTGGAGCCTTGGCCAATCCTCTCCGCGTAGATCCTCGCAAGCCTAAGGGCACCGCTTTCCTGGAGAGGTTTCCGTACTGCTTGCCTAACATTGTGGCCGCCGCATTATTCACTTTCGGCATTTCAGTAGGCTGGCTGTTCCTACAGGAGACCCTGGAAAGCAAGAAGCACGCTCCAGATCTAGGCCTGAGAACTGGGGCTCGGTTGACAGCATTTGTTCGCAAAATACTACACCTTCCAACCAAGAAGCAGACCAGCGGTTCAGAGCACGAGCCTCTACTTGGTCAGCATAAAGTGATCGACAGCGAAACGACGTCGCAACATGATGCTGCTCATGAAATCATCCCAGAAAAGGCACCAAGGTATCGGGATGTATTGACATATCAGACATCCCTTAATCTGATTGTGTACACGCTACTCGCTATGTACCTTCAGGCATATGATCAGGTGCGTGATTTTGTGCGCCTACTAATTATTGATATTGATCCAGTGCAGCTGCTTCCAGTGTTCATGCATCACCCTGTACAACTCGCAGACGACCCTACGGTATCCCTTCCTCTGAAATTTGCAGGAGGCTTCGGAATTGAATCCCGTCGCATCGGCATCATTTTCACCGTGTTCGCCATCTCATGCACTGTGTGTCAATTCCTGCTGTTCCCACCCATTGCGCGCTACCTCGGTGTTGTTCGCTGTCTTCGGATCGCCTTTCTCATCTTCCCATTTGTGTTCTTCGTCACACCATTTCTGTCGCTTATCCCAGATCCAGTCATGAGGGAAGTCGCTATGGTAATGCTCTTAATGGTCAGAGGCCTGGCTGGCACATTCTCATTCACCACCAGTACAATCATGCTCACGAACAGTGCGCTTAGCCTACGTGTCCTAGGCACCGTCAACGGCCTGGCTACTAGTTTTAGCTCTTTTGGCAGGGCACTTGGTCCTACCTTGGGGGGTGGGTTGTTTACTTGGGGTGTCAAGCGCGGCTATGTCATTGTGCCTTTCTGGACAATGTCTGCCATTGCGCTTGCTGCCTCTGTACCAACTTTCTGGCTAGTCGAGGGTAAAGGGTTTGGAGGCGACGAAGAGATCAACGACCAGGAGAACACCATCGAGACAGAAGAAGAAGAAGTGGTTGAGAACGGCGCAAATGTACCTCCAACAGCCTGGCAGCAAGATGAAGCAGCGTTTTCCGAGTCGGAATTCGGCGACTTTGGTGACCCACCAAATATTCTGAGTCTTACAACTACGCGATCGAGCGTGGCCATGGCCTCCGATGATGAAGATAACGCTTCGGTGTCTGTGGGTCAAGGGCAGTCGATTAATCCCCTGGAGGCGGCAAGAAGTCATTCGCAGACCAGACGACGAAAGATTGTAAGGAGGACGTCATCGATACCAATTGGTATGGGTAAAGGGTTCAGGCGATATAGTTCTAATCTAGGAAGCACGGGTATCGGCGGAGGCGGTGCTAGCTGGGGAGGCGCATAAATCTGGACTTGGGTGGGAATCTGTGCATTACTGAGTATTATGGGAAAAAGCATTAATCCATGAGTTCATTGAGCGCATCGGTTTCAAGTTGGCTCAAATTCCGTGTATGTCAATGACAACACTGCTAGTGACATGCTAAATCTAGATACACTCTTTTGTCATCACTTGCACGAATGTGTTATCCATACTGTACACGAAGGCGTTCTTGGGGTTCCTTGACCATCATCTGAAGTAGAACCAAGAATATCTCTTTCGATCACGACAACAACCATGAGGTCATGAGTGTGCACGATTCAAGATGAGTAAGCGCAAGTCTCGGGTGACGATGAGAATGGGAGAAAGTTCAATTACAATGTACAGACTACTGATTTTTTGTCATCCAACCTGCCTACGATGTGTCGTAACCGATAATTTGACCGCCTAGTCCATTAACGACTATATACCAACGCCCTGCCACCGTAATACTAGACCATACCAGGGTATCTGATACTCCACGATGAACTCCATCCAATGATCATGCAGTGTCCCCCGCGTTACCTGCCTAGCCCAGACCCTATTAAACGATAACGTAGTCAGTATCCTCATCCCAATCCCCGATGCTACCAACATCAAAGTCCCCGCTGAAGGAAGAGTCGTCGGGGAAAAGACCAGATAGAACGACACGATGCAACGTTTCTCTTCGAAGTTTCCACGCAGCCATGCGGGGAAGAGCATGGTGCTCAGACTATGAGCCTTGGCCAACATTGTCCATACCGCCTCTGTTGGGCATGCCAAAGGGGTTCCTGTTATCGCTGACGGGTGTGCTGTCGTGCTTATTGATAGCCGCATTGATAGGGCCATTGATGCTCGCGTTACGAACGGGACCGCTCATGCTGTTTCGGCCGTTTACGGGGTTGCCGTGGATGTTTTTGGGTACGCCGTTGTTGTTCATGCTGGGGCCGGGCATGCTGTTGTTCCGATTGTGGTTGTGGACCCCGTTTCCGTTGATTGCGACGGGAAGGCCGTTGGGCATGTTGTTATGCATGCTGTTCTCCAGGCCTGCGCTCATTGGGCCGCCCATCGGTGGACCCATTCTCACGCTCTCGTTGTTATCACCCATGTTGTCGACGTCGGGCCAGAAGCGCTCTTCTAGCCAACACATTTGTCGGAAGATCTCTTCGCAGCGCGACATTTCCTCTTTGCCATCGCGTGTAGTTGTGATGTTTGCCAGCTCATCGACGAGGGCGCGTGTCGCCTCGACGAATTTGCTGAAGGCCGGGGAGGTCCAGTTCGGTATTAGGGCTTGGTGGAGGGCGACGATGTGTGAGTCAGTGGAGGTGCTGGAGAGAGTATTGGAGAAGGAGGCGGCATATTGCCAGGCGGAGCGATAGCACTATCAGACATTAGCTTCGTGCGCCCATTACTGAGTTGGGTTGGACCTACATGTTCGCTTGCCCATAGCACGACCATACCCTCTAAAAGTGATGCGCTCGCACTACTCGCGCTCACGAGAAGATCAAGCATGGCGCGCGTGATAGGCGTAGGCGGTTCCATGCCCAGCGCAAGCCCATACTTGGTCGCGGTGATCTCGAAGAACTGCATCTCTCTTCGCATGTTGTTCAGCGCGGAGATGAGCAGGTCCATGGTGCGATACATGGGATGGAACTGCGAGTTCTGCGTCTGTGGCAGTCTTATCTTGGCCAAAAGGTGTCCTATGAAGCGAATGTAGCCTCGCGCATAGTGTCCGTCTTGTACCAGCCATTGCGACAGCGGTCCTGCTCCTAGCGATCCACAACCGGCATGCGATAGGAACGGTCGCTGTGTTGCTTGCGCAAACGGGCCCGAGCAGATGCTTAGGAGATGAGACGTCAGAGAAGGCGCAACATTGGGTGTCATGGCAATATTTGGCGCAATAGGCTGTCCATCGCGCGTGCGCTTACTGTTGGGACCGCGCCGATTTACTTGGAGGTTTGGATTTGGCTGCTGCCCACTCAGAATTTGACTGGGGCCCGGAGCCATGTTCGAATCCATAGGCAATCCATTCTGCTGAGGCGGCTGCTGTTGTTGCTGCTCCTGCGCGAGAAGATGGGCCTGCGCCTCGGGCGACGTCAGATATCGCTGGCAGTCTTGGAGATGCTCGATCTGTCGCGTTGTGTTCTTCGCGCGCACGAAGCCGCAATGCAAACAGCGTACTTTGTTACATTTCGAGGGCGTGTCTTGGTCCTGAAACTCTTCAAATGCTCGCCTTATGTCAGGGTTGGCATGTCTGCCCATGGCGGCCTGCTGCCATGATGGACGTTAGCCTCATGGCAGCACATGTCGTCGGAAAAGATACGGGACAAGTGGAGCTCACCTCGAATCGGGCTGTCTCGATGATGTGATGTGTATTGTGTATTGTAACAATCCGGGCGGGTAAGGTATCGCCCCTCACCGAGGCATGTTAGGCGGCTGCGGCGCCTTACCTCAGCCGACATTGCCCAGATGGACCTGCCTCCTCCAAACGTGACTCCGGCTGCACCTGCCCTGGAGGTGTTTGTAAATTTCTAGTTGACATTGGCAGGGACTAAGTTGAGATACAGTTTGGCTAGGCATTAGACGTTGATGTGGTTTCACGTGGTCGACATGTGCGTATCGTGGGCATCGTTAGTAACCCGGTTCTGTTCGTTAGGTTGCCGCCAGCGCCTAAGCACGCGAAATCTTTCCGTAATTTCAATCGGCGGCCATGCAGCGCATCGAGAACGCCTCCGCGTGACTTGCACCATGCCTCTGAAACTAAGCATGCGCAACATTGTACGCCGAACCTCCAACTACTCGAGCAAGTACCATCGTCATCCAGTCGCCATGATGTGTCGAACTGTCTTGTCCCAAGTCACATGGCCTGAAAGCCCCCGAGGCCGTCACTACCCGCGCGGCGACTCTGTCTACCTTAATCACGCGACGTCTTGACCCAAACTTCACTCACGATGCTTCACACTACCCCACAAACCTATGCCGTCAGCTTAACTGGTTCCAGTAGTCGAACCCGCCCGCGCATCTCCGCACCCCATCGCACGATGTACTATGACTGATGACGCTGCGCAGCTAACTGCCACCTTGGTAGACTAGCAGGCCGGCAGACGAATCCTCGTCGGGTACATCAACCTCAGCGAGCTTTGGGCATCCACGATGGTCACTAGAAAACTTCTGGCAGTCACACGCCCTCCCATGGCTCCGACGATCACGCTCGTAGATCTACTGCCGACTTCGCCAGCGCCGGGAAAGGCATCGTGCCACCTTCCCCGCATCAGCCAAGCTTTTCGCGATCGCGCGCCGTTGCACGTTTATACCCGACAATCGTGTCTTGTCAGTAACCTGGTAACGACATCACTTAGGCAAGCTGCATATGCGTCCGGTGTGTCGGGGGCGAATCTCGTGATGTGCAGAAGAGGAAGTTGGCAATGTACGGTGAAGAAGATGTTTGCGATTGATGACGTCAATGCTTCTGGGGGCGGCTCATCCTCCTGCTGCCCTATTGGCAAGCCACACGGTTTGCCTCGCATGTTGGACACCACGGCACGAAACAACTTGCTTTTACAAATGAATGTCGCCTTTAGCCAGTTGGCAAGGCAGAGGTACCTGTCTCAGCTTCCAGGTACCACAGTCCTCTACATGTGGCAAAGATCACTGCCCACGAGAAGGCATGAGTCAGATAATGGCATCATACCTCCACCACGTTGGAAGAACTTCGGCCTCGTGGGCCTTTTGCCCGGGGACAGCGTGTTTTGCATGTGGACGTGTTGCCGATCACAGAACCACAACGAAGGTCTGCATTTGACCTTCCCCGCAACGGTGCCGCTTGCAGCGCAGTCTGCATTCCTAAGCCGCCCTGTGTGGACGAACGTACGACATCAGATGCTCAGTACATACCAAGGGTATTCCGTGAAGATATCGGGGAACGCCCGAAGCAACGTTACACGAACTTGGCCGCAACCGGATTTCCATGTTGTCGACCATGCTCTTGACAAGTCGGTGTTGACAAACGCCAACTCACTTCCAAGAACCCACCGTCCACGTTCCGGTGTATCACCACGCTCCTCGGACGCGGTTCCAAGCTTCTCGAAGATCGTCTCCAACGCGTGAGCACCGCCTCGGAAGCTAAGTGGCTGAGACACGCCGATCCCCACATCATAGCCATCAAACAGTCCTCCAATCACCACGCTGTACCTGAATATCCCTTACAATTTCCGCCAAGCACCAACCCTGCATCTGACCTCTTTGATCCGCCTGACCCCAGATCTTTTGCTTTATGCTATGGCCTGCCGAGGCCCTCAGGGTCCATTTTACCGTAGCTTGCTGGCGGAACCGGTCTTTGTGGCGGTTGTCAAGCGGCTTGGGGTAGCTTCGACTTGCTTCCCCTATTGGAGCTGTTGCGTCACCGCGTCATTTGCCAGCGATGTCTCCGTGTCCGGAGTAAGTAACGATGTACACATCGTTCCGACACTGCTCGATCGCGACATGTCGGCGGTACTGCGGTTGGTTGCCTTGGTTGCCTTCCCCGACACCGCCCTAATGGTGGCCAGAATAGCTGTCGCGGCTAGCTGGGATAGAGCTCCGGGAAAGGAGATCATCCCTACGTCGTGAAGCAGCGAACACATGCTTGTATGGTGGGCATGACTGGGAAGAAAATTGGGGCGAATTTGTTGCTGTGTTGGCGGCTTGTGAGTCTTCGCTTTGTTCTGGTTAAAAGGAGGTCCTTCCCCCGATGCCATGGGTCTGCACAAGTTCAAGTCTGGGTCCATCAGCTACACAACCTTTCCTGTACTCCTTTCGAGTACAATTGCATGTTATACAGCATTCAGTTAGTTGAGTAACAACACTCCTCATCTCAATATGATCGGATCCTGGACATCAGCGGCGGCCATTGGCCTGCTTGCTCTGAGCACAAACGCATCTCCGCTCCTACCCATCAAGCGCGCACCCATGTTCGATTACAACAACCAGAAGGTCCGCGGTGTCAACACAGGTGGATGGTTCGTTCTCGAGCCCTGGATCACACCCAGCATGTTCGAGGGCAACAGCGCAAAAGACGAGTACACACTCGTTGCAGCTGTCGGCAAGGAAGAAGCACAGTCGAGGCTGCGTGACCACTGGAACTCTTGGATCACCAAAGCCGATTTTGAACAGATGGCCGGTGCTGGTTTGAACCACGTTCGAATTCCAATTGGCTATTGGAGCGTACTCCCACGTGACGGCGACCCATATCTACCAGGCGCGTACGACAAGCTCGGAGAAGCGCTCGACTGGGCGTCCGATGTTGGTCTCCATGTTATGATTGATCTTCATGGCGCACCCGAATCCCAGAACGGGTTCGACAACTCTGGCAAATACGGCAACGTTGGCTGGACTCAGGGCGATTCAGTGGCCTACACCATCAAAGTCCTCAACAAGATCCGCGATGATCACGCGTCGCATCCCGCCGTCTCAGCTATCGAGCTTCTCAACGAGCCTCTGGGCCCCAGTCTCGACATGAACACGGTCCGACAATTCTACATGGATGGTTGGGGCAACTTGAGGGACTCGAATGTTGCAGTCACCTTCCACGATGCTTTCCAGGGTGTAACTTCGTGGGGTAACTGGGGTGCTGGAATGTGGAACCTTCTCCTCGACACTCACCACTACGAGATCTTCGACAACTCTGCTGTTGCTATGAGCATTGACGACCACGTCAAGACCGCTTGCGACTTTGGTAACCAGATGGCATCCACCGGCAAGTGGACTATCGCTGGTGAATGGACTGGTGGCATTACCGACTGCGCAAAGTGGCTCAACGGAAAGGACAAGGGTGCGCGTTATGACGGTACCTTTGGCGGCTCCAAGGTCGGTGACTGCACCGGCAAGTCGACTGGCACTGTTGCGGGCCTGTCAGAAGCCGACAAGTACAACGTCGGTCGCTTCATTGAGGCGCAGCTTGACGCCTACGAAAAGGCCACCGGCTGGATTTTCTGGACCTGGAAGACTGAGGGCGCACCCGAATGGGACATGCAGGACCTCTTGAAGAACGGTATCTTCCCCCAGCCGCTAACGGCACGAAAGTGTAAGTATCCCCTCTGGTGTCGCATGAGCATGAAACTGACACCCTCTAGACCCCGGCCAGTGTGGCTAAGTGCCTCGTTGTTCATGCAACGTCTACTTGGCGCGATCCTACTCTTTTTCCCGTCCGTCATGCACCACACACTCGCTCCGCCGCAACACCTCCTACTCGACACACCGACCAGTAATGATGTAACGAATTTCATACCGCTTCGAAGATACCCCGACGACGCATTCACTCGCTAGATGGGACACCCACATACAGTAGGGCTGTCCATGCTTGTATCGGCTGACACAGCTGTCACCGTCGCACCGCCCATTGAGCTGTTGGCTGGGCAGGGGCGCACCTGGCGCAATGTAAATATGAGACGATAAACAAATAGTAGAGTCAACAATGCAATGGAGAAATTGAAACAAACGCAAACTATCGTGACACGTCTGAGCTGTGAGTTGGATTACTTTGTCAAGGTTTAATGGGGTGAAGCGGTGATTTTGCGGGCACGCGGGCTTGTTCGCGGCTGCCGCGCCCGGCCCAAGCCATCTCGCTCGCACCTGCCCTACGGTGAGATGAATGTCTGTGATGTGCAGCCTCGCTTAGACGGCGATGCGTCGAGCCAGAGCGCACGAAGGTGCGACAAAGGGCCAACCTAACTCTCCCTTTTCGGGGCCTGTTCGTGAACCAGTGGCGCCTCGACGGCCGCCAGTGCAACGGTACCTGAGCTAGAGCGCACGACTCGGGCACAAGCAAGCAGATCGCGTTCCACGGCTTGCGAGAACCTGGAGAACCCTCGCCCGCGCATCGTGACACCGCCTCACCGCAAACTCAAACACCGCGATGAAATGCGACTCTCATCTCTTCGGCGTTGAGCTGTCGGCCCTTCAGCTGTTAGGGCTGTGTAAGCGCCGATATTGCTGACAGTCTGCCGGCTGACAGGAACAACGCTCCTAACTTTCAGGCACCCGCAGACAGTAGCGACAGAAGCAATCTCCAAGCAGCCAGGAATAGCCCGCACCAGCGTCCAACAAGCTGACCGGTAAAGCCACCAAGCACTCCTGAAGACGCCGCAATCCACTGCAATACGAGCTGCCTAAATCCCTCGTCGCGGTGCCATTCGTCACGCGTGCCCAAGCGCGGTGCAATGCGTCCTAGCGCTGGCTCCGAAGGATATTGCACGGGACTGGAGCACCAATCTTAAGTTGCGCCG